GTTTTGTGCTGCCGGCCATTTATTTTTGTCCAATCAAAATCGATCGTTCCAATGGCGTCGGGCAGGAACTGTTAACGCGCCTCCCCAAGGTAGAGGGGATTGTGAAGAACCGCTAGGTCGTCTCACGTTCGGGGAAAGGGGGTGGGGTGTACAGGGAAGGTGGTTTGCTGGCGGGGTGAGGGGGTGGTGAAAAGGGATTAATATGCTTTTAACGGACAGTACTCTGGACTGCACAGTGGCCTGCACGTTTTAGCGGACAAGGAGCCGTCAAATTAACGTAAATTGCCCTGTCATCTCGGCTACGGTGATGGCATCAAGGAGGTGTACTAGTACACAGATACACACACTTTCGAGCTCCTAATGAAAAGGATGATGTAGCGTGCGTCGGCATTCGGCGCTTGCTTGCCACGCAAGTCCAATCCTCGAGCAAGGTCCCCGTTTACCTTTGACGAGTACGAGAGCCTCGGCCGAGACAGCCGCGCGCTCCCGCTTCGCGCGCCTCTTCTTGACCATGTAGTGGGGCTTATGTGCCGATCCAAGTCGACGGAGACGGTATGCTTGGATCACCCCTCGAGCGTAGGCGGCGACTCTACGATAGCGAGCTGCCTCAATACTCCGCAACCATATTGCCACGTCACGGAGACTTTTTAGCCAATCAGATAACAGGGAATATTAACGGATGGCCTGTCCGTCAAATTCCGATCTCACAAATTAGTTTTTATCTTGATTCGCGCCAATTCCCGATGTCCCGAACTATCTATCTATCTATCTATCTATCTATATATTTATCTATCTAACTATCTAGCTATCGATCTATCGATCTATCTAGTGCAGAAGGTCACACTCAATCGAGGTGTTCACAGGCGGCATAAAGATCGGGCGTCTTTTTCAGTATGCGGAAGGCCTACTCTGTATAGCAGCCTCGCACACGACGTAGCGATCTTGGCTCCCACGGCTCTTCCATAAACATCCCAGCGCAAGATAGTAGGCTCGTGTTCTACCGCATAGCGTATCATTGCAAAGCCGGTGTTAGTGTAGACTCAGTGGCAGTGCGTATTGCGCGGCTACAAACCGCGGGTGCTCCTGCGGGCACGGCGTCGGTGCCAGCACAAAGAGGCGCCAGAGCTTGATGTCGAGGACGTAGAATATGCCGTCGTACTGTACGCTCAGGAGCCCATTCAACGCTGCGGACGCCCGGTCCAAGTAGTAGACATCGTTGTGTACCCATGGCGCGTGGTGGAAGAGGAATGTGGCACCCGCCGAGAGCAGCAGCGACTGCACCTTCTTGGTCGGCGCGGTGTACGGCACAACATCGTGGGGCCGCCACCGCTTGGGCACGAGCCGCCAGTGCCAGTGCCAATGCTGCACACTCCGCACCATGCTGTAGCAAAGCAAGTTGACACACAGCGTGAGGCACCCCAGCATCCCAATGCGCGTCCAATGGCCGATCGTGATGGTCGCCGTCTCGCACGCGACTTGAAAGTCCATGCAAATCACGTGGCATACGGGTGCATACCTGGCGCTGAAGACCACGGGCGCATACCAGGAGAGGAGCGCGGTGGCGGCCCATACGCTGAGGCTGTTCACAGTCGCGTACTGCGCCGCGTGCGACCGCGTGAGCACGATAGCCATGTCGTTGACAACCTCGACAAGCCACGTGACTTCGCTGGCCGCGAGCAGCACGGAGAACCACGACGTGTTTCGTGGCGCTAGAAACGCGAGGCCGTCAACGTCGTGCAGCTCGAGCGACGCGGTGGCGAGGAGCATCATGGCGGTCGCGGACCGGACAAAGATGAGCGGACGGCCGACGTAGCTCATGGCGCCGATGCGGTTGAGTTTGAGTACGTTCCGGCGCTCCATGTAGCCGTGCGCGAGGCCGATGTAGAGCGTGATGACCAGCGCGAGGAGCAAGAGGAGGCTTGTGACAAACATGTTGGCCGACTGCGCGTACGCGGCGAGCGCCGACGGCAGCTCGGCCGCGTAGATCGCTTGCGTGATCGGCGTCGTCTTCTCCGAGAGCAAGGTCAGCGAGAGGTTGTCCCCTTGGAACTGCAAAACGTCGCGGTCGCACGCCACCCATTCAAGGAGATAGGCAAACGCAAAGAGGTCGTAGTTCGGATCCTCCAAGTTGAGCAGCGACATGCGTTGCAGCGACAGCGACTCGTTGGTCGAGGGGCTACCATACTGGAACAGCTCAATGTGGAGCGCAGCCACGGACGCATAGACGTCTACGAGGTCGATACCTTCCCGCACCATGGCCTCCGCCAGGCCAAAGGTGGTCGTAAAGGTCGTTGTGGCGTTCAGGTACTGTTCGCACGCCACGAGATTGTAAGGATCGTGGTTGCAAATGTCACTCCAGTTGCTTTGCGTGTGGACTGCGCCCAGCAAGGAAGCGGGCACGAGCGCTGCCCGGTCGAGCTGCAAGCTGGCATAGTAGGACACCGAGTCGCAGCCATAGTCGAATGAAAAGAGCGCGAGGAGACCGGCACCGACGCCAGGCGCCGACGTCGGTAAGATCGCGTCGCAAAGCACAGAGCCGCCAAACGACAAGAAATTTGACTCGATCCACGGCGCAGGGACAGGCCACACTTGTACGTTGGTGTCGATCGCAAGGAAGGCCGCGAGCGCCGACGCGTTCTCTGCAATTAGCGTGTGCAGGAGGCGGCGAAGGCTGTCGACGGCGGCGCGTAGCGCAGTCGGCACAGGAACAA